AGTTCAACTAAACTGAAACATAGCACTTAGGTTTCAACTTTGAGAGGCAACTTATGATGGATACTAAAGTCCAAAGTGTAACTCATGGAAGTTTAAATGTGACAGTTAATTTTATGTGTTATGCTGGCTATAGTCAGCAGCTGTTTAGTAAAATGTAGTCCAGATCTTCTCAGATATACAAATGTCAGGAATACCATTTCAGGTTTATCAAACAAAAAAGAGATTTATGCTGCCAGGTAAGCAAAAGGAATATAAATAATATAACCACCAGTAAGTGGGAGAAAAGAGGTACAGTGGAAATAGTGAATGTAAGTTAAATGATTATCTGTTAAATTTCTAAAGTAGGAAAATCAAGGACAGTAATTTGTAAGCATATAATTTATAGTTGGAAAAATTAAAAAACAAAGACAATAGTAACATAAAGTAGGTCTAGGATTGGAGAGCACGGGTGGACAGACTTTTCCATAGTAAACCAGGCGTGGTGGCACAAACCTGTAATCCTAGCACTCCTGAGCCCGGAAGATTGTAAATTCAAATTTACAAGGGCAACAAGAGAAACCTGTCTCAAAATAAAAAGAGCTGGGGAATGTAGCTCAGTGTGAAGGCCCTGAATTCAATCCTCAGTACTGCAGAAAAGAAAAAAAATTCATAATAAACTTTTCTGTCTTTTATTTAAAAAAAAAACTTGTATGTATTTTAAACAGGGCTGGCATAAAAAGCAAAGCTTCAAGACTGAACCCCAATGCAGCCTACGCAGCACCCCTGGCCTGGTTAAAGCAGACCCTCTCCCCACTATGCTTTTGTAGCTCTAGGTCCTGTTAAGACCTCTCCTATCTATTTGTGAGGTTTTCCCATTTCTCATAATTCTTTAAAGACAGAATTTAATCTTTCTTTTCCTAGTAAACCTCCAATAACTGAAAGACAAAAATTAGACTGTAGGAAAAAATTAGATTGTAGCTTGTCAGAATATTGAATATGAAAGGCAGACCAGTTAGCCAAATGCTCTCCCTGGCTACCTACTGAAAAGTTTTCTCAATTCTGAAACTATGAAGAATGGATGGTTAGGACGCTAAGCCAAACATCTGTGGCTTGCGCTGGGGGACAGGTCCAGTGCACAATCTCTGGCTCTTGATGGAAAGAGCCCTACAGTACAACACCCAGGGTAGGAATGAGGGTAGACCAGAAGTATCCTTAATGAAAACTGCACCCCAGCCTTCATGAACTCACGTGAGACTCTGATTATATTAAGCTCCATTCTGCCTAAAAAAGTGTAGATTATTACCACCTAGAATCTCTATAATTTGTCATACGATGTTCAGTATTCAGTAAAAACTTCCAGACCTGCAAAGGGTGGACTAAAGGACCCAAAAATAATGACAATGAAAAGACAACGGAATCCCCCTCAAAAAGATGTAAATCACTGCATTATCAGACAAGAAGTTTCAAGTTATTGCTTCATCGATCTAAGAAAAAGACTGAGAAAACAAAAGAAAAGTTCACCAGAGAATTAGGACCCATTAAAAGAAATAAATGAGCTGGATGTGTTGGCACAAGCCACCTGGGAGAGTGAGGCAGGAGGACTGTAAGTTTATGATTATCTTAGTTACTTTCCTCGCTCTTGCTGAGACAAAATACCTGATGCCCAAAATTAGGAAAAGAAAGGTTTTATTTCTGACAGTTCTTGAAGGTCGCAGTCCATAATCAGCTGGCTCCAAGGCAAAATGACATGGCTGAGGGGCAGTCATTCATGGATGCCACAAACAGCAAGTGTGAACTGGAAAGAAAGAGATGCATCTTCTTCCGCCATTACATCGTATACTGGCTCCACCCCAGGGCAGGTGTAGCACTCACACCACCAATCCGAGTGCTAGACAATGAGCCAATCACAAATACCAGATTCGGTTGCGTCCATGATTGCACTAGGCTTGGAGGGGAGGCCCTGACATAAACCATGACAGAGCCCATCTTGGACAATTTAGCAACTTGGGCCCTCTCTCAAAACAAATGATGAAAAAGGATAGGAGTGTAGTGAGTGCAAAAGGTCTTCTGTTCAATCCCCAGGATCATACGAAAACGGAGAGGGTGTGACTCCGTAGTAAAGCACTTGCAAGAGGGAATGGTATTTGAGAACAGAAATGGAAGAGCTGAAATTAAAAAATCAGTAACAGCATTAGCAGAAGACAGAAAAGTACCTGAGAGATCAACAGAAATATCTAGTCTAAAGACACGGAAAATAGAGCTAGGAGACACAAAAGAAAGAGCAGGAGACATATGAAGCACAGAGAAAAGTTTTTAACATTCAGATTACTGGAGTCTTAGAAAGAGGAGAGAGAAAAAAACAGGACAGATAATACTTGTAAGACATAACGTCAGCAATTTCCAATACTCATCCAAATCAAGAAGCTCTGTAAATGCCAAGCAGGGAAATAACACAAAGAACCGCCCCCCATTAGGTATAACCATAGTTAAACTACTGAAAACTAAAATAAAGAGACATCTGAAAGACAGTTGACAGGAAGGAGTGGGTTACCTACAAAAGAGCAACAGACAGACAAGATAGCTGACTTTTTAACAGAAATGGTATATTGTGGAAAGCAATGCAATTACATCTTTTGGATCTCTAAAGAAAAATTTCAAAACACATTTAATAGAATTTTTAAATCACAAGAAAGCTACAGAAAATCTGAAAATATAACCAAAATACAAAATATAAGACAGGTTAAGAGATAATTATAACATGATAGGGTCCAACTAACATTTAATCAGGGCTTCAGATGAAACACAGATAATACTGGAAGAGAAAATGTTTTAGTAATTTTCCAAAATTTATTAAAGACAGCACTGTACATATTCAAGAAGCAACAAAAGATCTCAAAGTAAAGAAATCCCCCCCGTGTACCGGCATTCTCTGCTGTTTTTGAGCTCCAAGCTCATCTTCCCATTCTCTAGTCTGTTACACTCAGCAGTAACTCGGCAAATTCCATTTCTCAGACTCCTTTACCAGCTGCCTTCCTTTTAGGCTCTGCCAGAGAAAGCCACCAGAAAGGATTAGATGACAAGAGCTAGACAGCAGTTACCCTAGACCCAGTGCGTTTTTTCATGAGATGGTTTATGCATTAAGCCCCTGAGGCATAGAGATTATTTATTACTGTAGCATAAGCCTATTCTATCTTAATAAATGTACATCAAAAAGTAATGGATGGAGACTCACCTATTAAAAAATCCACATTTTTTAAAAAATCCACATTTGCAATCCAAGCTATATATCCTAAAGAAATGTGTTTGTGCACACCAGAAATCATGTATAAAAATGCTTATCACAACATTAATCATCATAGACAAAGGCAGAAACCAATTCAAATATCCATTGACAGTGTATTGATTGCATTGTTACTTAAACATCAACAAACTATATGAACCGTTAAAACTAAACTACACAACAATATGACTGAATCATTTTCCTTTGGGGAGGGGACAGTACTACTAGGGATTGAAATCAAGGCCTTCATAACAATCTAAACTCCCAGCCCTTTTTATTTTTGAAATGGATATAGTTTCACTAATTTGCTAAGTTGCCCAGGTGAGGCTCAAACTTGCAGTCTTTGTGCCTCAGTCTCCCACAGTGCTGGGATTATAGGTATGCACGACCATGCCTTGACAGAAACTTTTTATCTAATGTTACTCATCCTGTGCTTCTTTTTTTTTTTTTTTTTGTACCAGGGATTGAATTTATAACCTTGTGCTTGCCAGGCAGCTTATGCTGCTGAGCTAAATCCTCAGCCCTTGTGTGCTTCATTCTTGAAAATAGTTATATCCATAAACGTACATACTGCCAAAAAGTGATGATATAAACAAAGCGTGAATGTGAGGCAAAAGATACTTTTCTCTGGGAAGACAGGTCTTAGAGACCTCTGCTCAAAGCTGGGCATGGTTACAAATACCTTTAATCTCAGCCCTCTGGGAAACTGAAACAGAAGGATCACAAGTTCAAACTCAGACTGGAAAATTTAGCAACTTGGTGAGGTACTGTCTTCAAAAAAACGCTGGGGATATAGCTCACTGTGCCCTGGGTCAATCCTCAGTGTCATCAAAACAAGAAAGTCTAGGGGAGACACAAATTTTTCAAGTTAGTTGTCAGACAGCAACTGTATCCATTCCAAAAATTCATAAGCAACCATTTATTTTTCTAGTATTAGTAATGAACATCTAATTATAAAAATGTCATGTGCACAAAAAACTAGTTGATACACCTTTGGATTTCCTATACCACTAAAAAACTATTTTATTTTATTTTACACATTCTGACCACATATGTCATACACAATATAGCTCATGTGGCTAAGTAATAAATCTTCCTTTATTTTCATAGTTTAATGTACTAAATTATTTTATGAAATAAGAGAGGTCAAGTTTAATAATTACTTAAGAAAAGGAAATGTCCGCTAATACCAACACAACTGTGTTCAGAGGCACACACAGAAGAACAAAATACTATTATCCACAACTGCAGTTCACCTGCCAAGGTGAAGGAACACGTGTGGCAGAGCGTGGCGTTGGTCTGACTGTGTGTGGTGGGCAGAAGAGGGGGAGCATGCCCCCCGCCACAAGACAACACTGTCGCCTGCAAAGTCCACACTGCGGGACCATTAAGCGCATCATGAAAACTACTGCTAAAACTCACATAGTAAGGTTCACAGTTTCGGTGTCCTGGGCCACACACAGGTGTGTGAAGTATACTTGATGTGCCATGAACAATTCTGTGGGGAGATCTCAAAGTTTAAGAATGTCCATGTAACAGCAGCATCGCAACCATGACCATTCACGCACTCTCTGTTCTCTGGGAAACAAGACACACTGAAGCTCGGTGAGAGATAAGGGTTAAAACCAGGTCGAGAACCCAAGGCCAGCGTTTCACCACTAATGCTTCCCAGGCACAGACTGCGCTCAGCAAAATCAGCAAAGGTTCTCAGGTCTTTAAAAAAAACTACTCCAAAGAAGACTTTTTAAGGCTTCTGGCAAGGACATTTTATTTTCTGGTTAAGCCACAGCTTATAGAAATGCCATTAAAACCAACATGTAAACAAGGCTTTGGAACTTTGGTTCACTGACACATCTCTCACCCACAGCGTCTGAGGTACAAAGGCACCTTCCAAGGTGCGTGACAGCCTGGCTCTGCTGCAGCCGCTCCAACGCTACTCTTGGAGCCAGGGTGGCACAGGCTGACGAAGAGGCTGAGACCTGGGACATACTGGACCAGCCCACGGTACTCTTTCCCACTCCAGACAAATATCAGCTCCGCCCAAACCCTGCCTGACAGGAGCTGGCACACAGGAAGGTGCCCGTCCGTCGTGCTGAACTTGAGGAGGACTTGAGGTGTGGGGCCAGGAAGGGGAACGGCAGGAGGGGACATCAGTCAACTTCCGTTGATCCGCATGGCCTCAAGAACTCCTGTCCTCGTTCATGGAACCACTTGTTGGAGACTGGGAACAGAAAACAAGTGTGTTAGAACCCCGGCGGTTTCAGCTCCTCCGCCCTGGTGATCCCTGCTCCGTGCTTTGGGGTACAGACTGGAGTAGGGCACAGACTCAGGCTTCGACTCATGCGTGCACTGTTGAGAAGACACGGGAGTGAACAGGCGAGGGGGGCCAGGGATATGCTTATGCACATGCCTGGCAAGCACAAGGTCCTGAGTTCAATTCCTGGTACCCATAAAACTCTATGAGGGTCACGATGCCCATGTGCAGGCTGCCATGGGGACTGAGCTGAAGGGCACCTGACCATGCTAGGGAGGCGGCGGCCTCAGGCTGGACACATGTTACCGTGGGAAGATGGGCTGCCACACCAAGCAGGGTTGCACAAAGTAGGAAAAGGGTGAGGAAGTCATTGGAACAGGAGCCATTCTGACTCAGGAAGCCTGCACAGAGGCAGGGAGGAGGGAGCCCAGCAGCCCTGCGGAGGGTCCAGCTTTACCCCCCAGACCCTAGAAAAGCAGAGCTGGTGCCAGAGGGGTCACCTAACGCTGAGTCCCACACACATGTAAAGCAGGACACAGCATCTGCACACAGGGCCTCTCACAATGGACACAAAATTGCTTTCATGTCCCTCTGAAGTCAAACGGATTTTATAGTACAGCTGAACTTAAAGTAATGTGTGTATCTGACACTGAGCAAAAGGCCTACAAGGCTTATCCCAGCAGACGCAGTTAAATAATACATTTTAGCAGGAAGTAGTGCGGTTTCCATCGCGAAGTCACTTTCATGCTGAGCCATCTAGACGACCCTCAAATTTTCTTCTTGTACAACTGCTCTCCCTACCGAATCAGCCGCTACCTCATCTTCTCTCTCATTTGCTTAGTTTTCTGTAAATCCATCACTATTTACCATCACCCCCAAACTCCAAGGGTTACAAGCTGGTTTGCTTATTTCCTGTCACATCCTGTTCCACCCTCTTATGCCTCAGGATAGCTGCATGAAAGACAAAGTTCAAGCTTCAGTCTCTGGAGCCTGGTGCCACCCTCGGGCCGCATCTCTTGGTCCCTATGCCACAGACCTTCCCTCCTTCAAGCGACAAGGGCACTCAGCGCCACACCTAGTGTGGCCTGTGCCTCCTTCCACAGGGGCATGCTGGCCTGAGAGCCCTTCCCTTCTCTGCTCTGCCCTCTGCTCCCGCAGAACCCTGCCAGACCCTGCTCCTCTGCAGAGCCTCCCCGTCACACACTGCCGTGCAGGGCTCCTCCAGTTCCCTGGGCAGCGCTGAGAGTTCCTAGGTAGCTGTCTCAGTGCTGAAGCAGCTGAGCAGCCTGGATGTTCTATCAGTTAGCAGGGAAAACCCTTAGATGGGAGCCAGTCAGGGCCTAGGCAAAGGTAACAGGTGTCATCTGCTAGCTCTGGATCCAAAGCCAACCTTCCAGGTCCAGCTGAGACCACCATGGCCAGCACCACCTCCCAGGCCACTCACCCCACTTGCAGCCCACCAGCACTGGGCAGGCTGCATGCCTCGTTCTGTAGTCACCTTCTCCACTCCGCAGAAGGTTGTACCAGAATACAGCTGTGCCCTGGGAAGAGACAGCCTGTCAGAACACCCGCTGCGAGATGGGGCTCAGGCATGGAGGAACCCCTGCCCCAAGCAGAAAAACCCTCTTTGCTCTGTACAGGAAGCAGGGCTCTGGGCTCTACTGCTGGAGAAGCTTCTTTGTTGTTTGTTTTTTTCTTTTTCCTTTTTATCAGTACCGGGGATCGAACTCACGACTGCCTGCTTGCAAGGCAGGCGCTTATGCCACTGAGCTAAATCCTCAGCCCTGGAGAAGCTTCTTGCAAAGCACTACTTCCCTCCATGGTTACTCGGAGGTTTGGAAATCCACCCACTCCTGAAGGGACACCCCTCCCCGCCCCCACCGCCCCGACAGAAGCTGGAACACAAACCCACAGTGCGTAGAGGAAGGGACTCTCTCCATAGGGACAGTCAAGGCAATGAGAATGAAGGATGGGGATGAAACCCAAGCGCTGTTTTGGTATCTGACCCCAAGACTCAGAACCTACCTTCTTGGGCCAAAGTGCAGCTCCCAGATCAGGGAAGACAGTGGCTCCTCCGGCTTCTACGTCACTCATCTGGGAATACACAAGGCACATAGCTTGGCCCCTCTACCCAAGGGTCTCACACCAACCGAGCCCCAGACGTGCAAGCCCAAATGAGACAAAGAGGGCAGATGGTCATGCTCGGAGCAGGCGGCTGTTCCACGGCCAGCCCTTCAGCCAAGAAAGGCTCATCTCTCACTCGGCCTGGTCCATGTGGCCCAGCAGGAGTCTCTGTGCTGTGAGCTTCAGAGCTGAGGCCCCCCGGAGACTCACACAGGCTCTCCTTGAATGGGACAACCTAGCCGGTACACAGAAAGTGCATATCCTGGTCCCAGCCCTGGGGTCCCTGTCCAGCCTGGACCACACCTAAGCCTCTGTGCCCAGCAGCTTCCTGCTGCTTCTAACACCAGGTATTCTCTCCCCTCAACACCCGAGTGAGCTGTTTTTTGGGCTCTAGCAGCTCGCTGCTTTAGATAAACCCTCACTTTTAAAATGGCCATACTTGCAAAATTGTTACACAGATTTAACGTAATCCCAATCAAAATACCACTAGCATACCTCACAGAAAAAGAGAAAACATTCCAAAAATTCACTGGGAAACAGAAGAGCCCTAGAATAACAAAAACAATTCTGGGCAACAAAGGTAAGGCAGGGGCATCACGATCCCTGACTTGAAGTTAATTCCTGACTGTGAAAAAGACCGCATGTACTGGGAAGAAAAAAAAAAAAAAAAACACAGACCTAAGACTCAGTGGAACACAGTAGAAGATGCAGAAACAACTCCAAACACACTTAGCCACTTTGACAAGGACCTTCCTCTGAAAGGAAGACAGTCTGGTTAGTAAGTGGTGCTGGAAAAACTAGCTCTGCACATGCCAAAGGCTAAAACTAGACCCACGTCTATCACCATACACTAAACCAAAATCAAAATGGATCAAAGATCTAAACATCAGACCAGAAACACTAAATCTACTGGAAGACAGAATAGGCAGAACTCCTGAAGAAACAGGTTCAAGACTTCTTGAACAAAACCCAGATCACATGAGAAATACTACAAAGAATCAACAACTGGGATTTCATCTTATTCTTTTGCACAGCAAAAAAAAAAAAAAAAAAAAATCACCAGCAGAGTAAAGAGGCAGGCCACAGAGTGGGAAAAAAATTGGTTAGTTGTTCCTCAGATGAAAGACTGATATCTAGAATATTAAAAAATAATAAAATAAAAATTTAAAAGAATCAGACCCCAAAATTTAAAGACCCAATACAAAAATGGGCATCTAAAACAAATATACATTTCTCAAATAAAGAAATACAAATGGCAAATAAATACGTGAAAAAATGTTCAGCAGCACGGGCCACTTGAGAGATACAAATTAAAACAACACTGAGATTCTATCTTATTCTAGAAAGAATGGCCAAGATCAAGAAATCAACCAATAACAAAGGCTGGTGAGAGTGTGGAGGAAAAGGAACCCCTCCCCACCATTGGTGGGCGCGGTGGAACCACTGTGGAAATCAGTGCGGAGAGTCCTCAAAAAACCAGGATTGGTAAGTGACTGCGGCTTAGGCAGGCTGCAGCCACTCCAGGGCAAGAAGCACCCAGCATCTCCCGAATTCCACACCATGCTGGAACTTAGGGCGCTGGGAAACCAAACAACCAGCTTGCCTCCCTGGTACGCTGCAGTGAGCCTACTAGGCTGAGAATCAAACATCCCACTTCCCCCTGACCCCCGTTAGCAAACAGGAGCCAGAGATCTGAGCATCTCTTGGGAAACCTTGCAATATAGAAAATAAGGGGGATTTCCTCTACCATCCCTTTGAAGGCAAACTGTTTTGCTTTGTTCTGATTAATGGTACTGCTCTATTCAGTATTCTGTTTTGATAAGTTCTATAACGTTCTGCATTTTGTTTTATTTTGCTCTACCTGATTGACAAAACAACTATTGTGAAGATAACGAGATATACTTGGTACCTATTGCCGTTATCCCGGTAACCTGCTGTTAAGTTCTGTACCGATTTCACTACACTGTCTAAATTGGCTTTATTTCATCTTGTTTTGTTGTATTTTGCTACCTTCAAAATAATAAAAAATTAAAATAAGAAAAATTTTTTAAAAACCAGGACTAGAAGTCCCATTTAACCTAGCTATTCTCCTTCTTGGTATCTTCCTGAAAGAATTAACAGCAACATAGCACAGCAATACACGCACAGCTATGTTTATAGCAGCAAAATCTATAAGAACTAAATCTTGGAAACAGTCCAAATGCCTATCTACAAATGAATGGATAAAGAAGATGTGTTTTTTTATACATCAGAGTACTATTCAGCCATGAAGGATAAATGAGACATTTCTAGGTCAATGGACTAGATTTGAGACTATATTTTTAAGTGAAATAAATTGGACACACATGTAAATATCACATTATCTCACTGGTGTGAGGAACAGAAAGTGTAAACAAGAACTAAAATATATAATAGATATTGTGACTGGGAAGAGAAACTGGGGAGGAGGAGGGGAAAGGAAGAAAAAAGGAAAAATGAGGAAAGAAAGATACAATGGAAACAAAGCTTCTGTAAATAAGGGAGGAAAGAGGGTTGGAGGGAAGGAGGGGAACGAGAAAAAAAAGAAAATCAAGACACATCATGTCCAGGGACAGATTCCCTATGGTGAATGTTATCAATATGTATATCAACATTGTACGAATAGTAAAATGGGAAGAAATTGGGATGGGGGAATGGAGAAAAGAAAGAAGGAAAAAGAAAAATATACATACAGAAAATAGCTAAGATAGTGATACTACTAATTTTCCTTAGTTCACTGAAAAGAAAGTGTCATGGTTTATGTTTGTGTCCCCCAGGCCTCATGAGTTTGCATTGTTCATTTGTGATAGTTCATTGTCTAGTGCTTGTATTGATGGTGTCAGTGCTCCACCCACATGGGGTGAAGCCAGGATGTGATGTAATGGCAGGAAGAAGGTATGTTTTTCTCTTTGCTGGTTCAAGCTTGCTGTTGGCGGCTGCCATGAACTTCAGTCCAGCCAGGCCTGCCTATCTTGGAGCCAACTGAGTGTGGACTGAAACCTCCAAAAACTGTAAGAAATAAACCTCCATACTTCCAAAACTGTTATACAGATTCAGTGCAATCTCAATCAAAATTCCAATAGCGTATCTCACAGAATTAGAGAAAACAATCCTAAAATTCATCTAGAACCAAAAGGGACCTAGGACAGCAAAGGCAACCTGGGCAACAAAGACAAGACAGGGGCATCACAATCCCTGACTTGAAATTCAACTATAAAGCTACTGTGATAAAATGGTGGCAAATTTCATGTTATGTGTATTTTACAACACATTTAAAAAGCTGCGAACAAAAGCAAGCAGGGAGAGTCTTGGTGGGGAGGGTGGATGGCAGGGCACCCGACAGGAGGCCCTAGGGACAGAGGACCCGGTGCACTGCTGCTGTGGTGATCGGCCCAGACCTGGGTGGGAAATGACAGCCCTCTGGGTCCACGGCCCCTCAGAGTTCACACACTGCACACACCATACTCACGTAGTTTAAGAATGTGGCCACACGATTCCCCGTCCCTAAACGCTTGAAAGCATCTCGCTCATGGCTCTATAAAATTAAGTGAGAGTGAACAAGGGCCTGGACCCAGTACTTACATAGTTAAGAAACGTCGCTAACCTATTCCCCTCCGTTTTCAGGCCGCTGTCAAAAGGGCGCTGCAATAGACAACAACTTTCACCCAGGTTTGCAACCACCTTGCCCCCCACCCAAAGGACTGGGGCCAAAGGCTCAGGGGAAGCTGCTGAGCATGTTCTCCACAAAACAGCCTGCAGTGCAGGAAACTCGGTCTATGGCACGGGGAAGGGGAAGAAGCATGGGAGAAATTTTCACAAAGACCTAGTGAGGTCCTGAGCTTTAGGATCCCGGCAAACAGTACCAGGGTTAGGGCAGGGGAAATGGCCAGGCTGCACTGGGCTCCCCAGGCCCTGTGCTTCCAGATTTGGGCTTCGCCAATAAGACACGGTTTCCCCAGGTGAGGCAGGAGGTGGGGTGGAGAATGAGGGGGCTGAAGGGCTCCCAGGAGCTCCAGCCTTCTCCAGGCAGTCATCGAGGGGCCCCAGGAATGCACCCGGGGCTCCGGCCTTACCCTGGAGAAGTCGAAGTGTGGCTCGTACTGTCCTCCCATTCCATAATTTGCGACCTGGGAGAAACAACAGCACGGAGGACCCTGTCAGCAACCCATCTTCCCACAGGTACCACCTCCCTCGCCCTGAAGCCAGCAGAGCCCCAGAGCAGCTGCCCCTCGGGGAAGGTGGCTGCACCCTGCCAGCAGAGGTGGCACAAGGGCATTGAGCGTCTCCATGGCCGGGTCAGAGAGGAAGGAGGCAGTAGGCGATGAGTGATCGTCCTCAGTCAGAGTAGCGGGGGGCGCCCCTCTTCTTCTTCATCCTCCCCTTTGTTTCCTTCACTGTTTTGAGACAGTCTCACTATGTAGCCTCCTACAGGGCGCACCACCACACCCAGCTCCCTTCCCAAGGCAAGCGCTGGCCTGGGTCCTGTTTGAGTGATACCAAGTAATAGAACCAAAAGCATGTTCCACATTAGGCTTGAGATTGTTCTTTTCAAATACTATTTTTGCATCTACTCAGAATCTGGCGCTGTTCCTACTACTGTCTCTCAACGTCTGTTTATAGTCAGGCTGTGGGGCAAGCCTGTCCCACCCTCTCCTCCTGCAGAGTCCACTGCATGGAGTACTTCTGCATCCAAGCAAAGCATGGCAAGGGTGGCCAGCTGCTGGGTGGCCAAGAACTGCTACCCCATCTCACCACCCCTAGACCAGCACTAAGGAGCAGCTTTGGCCACTACCAGGTATGGCTATCAGGCTGGAAACTGTAAATGCCTCTGAGAAAGCTGGCAGCACCATACCCCGTCCTAAACCACAGTGGCTACTTGGCTACAGCAGATACAATGAGAGATGAGGCTCAACAGAAAGAGCGGGACAGGACACAGAAGCTGACGGGTCAAATGGCACCACCAATGTCCGCCAGGAAGAGCTGGCTACTGTGTCCTGCTAAAACCCTAAAAACTTTTGGGGCTCAGCTATTGGTTATCGAAAAGTTGGTATTTTTCTGTATGTCCTTTGTGACAATCCCAGTAGTCAGGTAAGAGATGATAAATCTGGCAATAATGGACACCTTTAACTGTGGGAGAGGAAGTGACAGTGAGGAAATCCTCTTGTCGAGCACAAGTATTTGTCAAACAGAAGAAAATGCAAAGTTGGACATCATTATCTTCAGTGTTTACAAAAATCAAAATCCTGATGTGAAGGATCACTGGGTGCAAATATGCTGTCATCTCTGCTGCGCCAGCCTTCAGGATTCCACCATGAGAGCGCCCCAGTTCCCATCAACAGGACAAGCAGGCGAGGCAGCTGGCAGCCATCAGGCTGGGGGACAAATGAAGAAAGGAAATGCCAGACAGGGCAGATCACAAAGTCCTATTAGAAGCGCTTTCACTAGGACATCTGCTCGAGTCCAGAACTTGGAGAAAACCAGCACACCCAGCACCGCTGGCTGGGAAGCTCAGGCCCTGCTTGCTGTGAGGGCTGCAGTGACTGCGTCCCAGCACTTCACTCACCGGAGAGCGTGCTTGCACCTTCAGACCCTCGGAAGTGAGGAAACCGCACTGCTATCGCTGCTCATGTTTTAACAGTTTGACAATGACGCTGAAGTCACAGCACCTACCCTCCTTAGTAATGTCCCTAAACAAGTACAAAAGCCACGGGAACTTCTGCAGTGACAGCAGACTCATCAGTCTACCACACCCAGACCCCGAGCTGCACCTTTAATAATAAGCAACCAGATGTCAAAACTGATTCCCCTGAGGAGGTTTGCATTTCAATCTTTGTATTTCTGTTGTTACAGGATAGTCAGTCCGCTGAAAGACATGGGTATTCCTGATGCTCAAGTTGAGTGAGGGCAAAAAAATAGAAGGGTTAGAGCTGGACATGGTGTGCACACCCATAATCCCTGCACCCAGGAGGCTGAGGCAGGAAGATCACTGCAAATTCAAGGTCAGCCTGGGCTACAATGTGAGTTCAAGGCCAGCTTGAATTGCCTTGAAACCCTGCCTCAAAAGACAAACAAGAGGCCCTACACCCCACTGCCACCAGGTCTGGAAACCCCTCCACCCATGAGCTCGCTGATGCAGCTCCATGAGCCACTGCCCTGCACCTCTCTGCCACCCTGGGAACCTTGGAGCAGAGGAGCCCCGGTGCCGAGCCCAGTCCCCTGCACTGAGGGATTGGTGGCCAATGCAGGAAGCAGCTGGGCCTCAGCAACTGGCTGATTCAGAAGAGCACAGGACAATGCCAAGATGAAGGAGCAGGGTGCAGTCTCAGACCTCCAGCCCACCCAGAACAAGTCCAGGAGACACAGACACAAAAGAGATTAGATGTTACACACCTGAGATTTCCGAAATGATAGCAACTGACGTAAAGATACAACTTAGTGCTTACATTGTTTGACTGACTTTGCACGCCTATGTCTGGTAGTCTGAGCAACTAGAGGATAACAATGTACAGTATAGTAACGCTTGCTGAGTTCCTACTATCTTTTTGCTGAAATCCAATATCATGCTCATTGGTTTGTTTCATTTTATTGTTTTGTTCTGTTCTCTTTGAGAAGGAGAGAGAGTGAGAGAGAGAGAAAAACCACTTTCTTTGTGAGGCTGAGACAACTCTGAATCAGAACTCTTGAATCTTAAAGAATTATGGAGGCGCTGTTTCTCCTCTGTCAGACAGACCCGCAATCAATTCACAAGAAGCCTCAACTGCCCTGCTTCCCAGGTGTGTAGCAGACATCAATTACAGCCAAAGAGCTCCTTTCCAGAAGCCTGCAGCCTTCCCAAAGTGACCCTGCGTGAGGGCTCCTGCTGTGCCTCGGCCATTATCACACTACGAGCATTCCCTGTGGATGGAGCATCAGGGTCAGGTGCTGAAACCCAGGGCTCATTCCCCAGAGCATAGCCTCCACAGTACCCCTGGCTGGCAAAGAAAATGCCAAGCCAGTTCCCAAAGGAAGAACACAAACAGAATGGTGTCTCAGCCGCCTGGCCCCAATGTGCAAGATCTCCGCAAAGAGCCGTGAGTGTAAGAGCCCTTCTCCAGAGAATTTGTACTTTCAGACGCTGCTTCATGGAGAGGCCTGAAAGGAGGGAGCTAAGACCGCAGCAGACAAGCCAGTCCATGGCCAGACGGCTGTCCACCGAGGCCTCAGTGAAACAGCGGCAGGCAGTGAGGTAAGCCAGTGAGACAGCTCTATTCATCTCCATGGTCAGCACGTGAGCCAGTCCATCAAGCCAGCTGCTGCCCTTCATCAGGGCCAGGCGAGCCCTCAACACTGGCCCTGGCATGAAAAAAAGCAGTGGCTGATGTCTTAAAACACCAAAAAAATAAACTTTAAAAACGTGAAAAAATGAAAACAGCTTCAAGAAGATAGGATCCAAGATAATGTCCACAGGGATGACGTGATGACGAGGGAAGTGGGAAATGTGGCAGAAGTCTTCCAGTGATGCAGCATTTATTCAGAAATTAGAGGAACTAAGCTAAGCTGATTAACATTTAAACAATTACTTTAAATGTTCATAACACTGTTTTTGAGGTAATCAGCATGTTTTTGAAAACTCTGGTGGGCTTCATACGAATCCATAACACTGAACTTCACGCAGCTGCCTAAGGGAAAAGAATGAGTGCTGATTGGCTTGGCTGTGTATGCACAAAAGGTCAGAAAATCTTCTCTGATTATCATCAGCCAGGAGCCTAATGAGATCCACAGCCATTCAGACCCACATGCCAAGTCTAAGGTGACAGCCGCGATCTTTAAATATACAGAACTTCTGACCGGGAAGACCCAGAGGACTCTAGAAAGACACCAGGGAAACCTCTCTGACAGTGTCTCAGGACATCAATTTTACAGAAGAACCCTGTGTGCTCCGGGGAGAACACAGCCAGCACAGGGACACCATGACAGAGCTCCATGCAGAACCTCCCTTGTCACAGCACTGCCCTGCTTTTCCACGATCACCTCTAAAACCAGAGCAGGAAGCCAGGGCCCCTGCAGGGGTACCCAGACAAGTGCATCCTCCTCCTCCAGACAGCTGGCCCAGCCTCTTATTCTCCCAGCAACAGAACACTTCATTGTATCTCAGCTGCACACATGACAACAACCATCACCTCTGGAGGTACTTTTAGCCCTCTGGAACACTTCAGAGTCTGAGCTTCTGAAATCAGAAGATATGAAGATATGAACGAGCCTGCCGAGCCACTTGGTGTGACTCCTGGTACAGCTGGGTACACAGTACACGCCTAGCTGACACTTAGAGCACTAAACTGTTGAACTCGGCAGGCATGACTAATCTTGGTTCCCCAGGACAGGATCACCCCCAGATCCACAGCACAGTGCGGTTATGCAGTGTATTAGCCAGCCTGCCGCCTGGGGAGCCCACCTAGATGGACACACCCCCCTCCCAACTCCTGTGGTCCCAGGCACGGCCATACCTGTAGCAGCTCTGCAGTTTTCACTGTTAACCCTGTGATCTGCTGCATCCGACGATTGACTCGAGCCACTACGGGGTCGTCTTCCTCCTCCAGCCAGGAGCTGGGATAGAAGAAGAAAGCAAAAGGCAGGCTGCCACAAGGTCCTGTGCTTTCTTCCCAATGTCAAGGCCAGGACTAACAGGTACAGGGTGAGCACCCTGAGAAGACGAGGGTATCCCAGCATAAGCCCCGCCACCCTCCCTGAGGCAGGCATGGGGAGCTCTGGAGCAGGCACCTGAGCAGCCACCCTACCAGCACCTCCTCTGCTCACCTTTTGGAAACCCTGTAGCTGGCAACAGTGAGGACACCGGTCTTAGGATCACGTACAGTGGCTCGTGCAAGCTGGAAGTCAGAAAGAAAAGCCAGGCTTACCCGATGCGGGTAACCCGGTGTGTTTTCCCATACAGCACTGGAACCAGATCCACCAACCACGTTAGTGGGGGACGCAGCTCTACGGGACGTGGCTTGAGCCAAGACCCTATCATCCTTTTTTTTTTCTAATATGAAAATAAAATTTCATTATCCCGTAATAGTCCACTGGTATGAAGATCCAACAGTCTGCTGGTGTAAACATTAAATGCTGCCTCATCTCAAAAAGAAAACAAAATTTCATAACAAAATAGTAAGAAAATAAGGACAGTTAATACACAGGTATCATTATCATCACAGTAATTACTCAGAGTACAAGACAGAGACAACAGAAGATTCTCTCTCACAAAAAGAAAAAAAAAAGTTAACAGCACAAAACTTGCCTTTTGGTAAACTGGTTTAGGAAACTAATAGTACAGGTGAAATGAACTCACCCTGTGGGGCCAAGACCAGAGCAGGAGCCGGAAGCTGCCTTGGCCCCTCGCTGGCTCTGACTGACACTCCTACCTAGGTCTGAGGGTCTACACGACGGTGCCCAGGTCTCTCCTGGACCCACCTGTGCATCTCCCTGGACAGCTGCTCCTCGAGGCCCCACACACCACTGGGGCTAGCAGTGTGCGGCATGTTCATACTCGCCATCCTGGAGCCTCAGCCCATGTGCTTCTCTTGAGTCGGTCCAGCTACGCCATCTCTCTGAGCCACTGTGAACCACCATCCTCCAACCCATCCTAACGCTCTCCTCCACACGCCCTCACCCTGGGTTTCCCCTGCTGCATGGAGGAAAGGCAGCACAGGCCCCTCCACCTTGGGAGCCTCACACATCAGATGACAAAACCACAGAAGATTCTGCAAGTGGACCTCTACCTGGAAGCCATCCACCCACATATGAACATACACTGACATATGTGCGTGCGTGTACACCCCCCACACATGTGCACACACATGCATACCCCTCATCTCCCCAGTCTCTGAAAGAGGCTTGATGATACAGCCAGGAGGGACCCACTACCTAAAGCCAGCCCCCATGGTGTGTTCTAGTGGTCTCACGTGGGTGGCACCACAGGCCTAGATATCCCCACCTGAGCAGCACCTCTTCCAGATTTCCATGAATATTTGGAAAGTGTACCTGGCTGTACACCGGGTGTCCGAGACAGCGCCCTCGCCCTCATCTAACTCCATCAAGTGGGGAAGCAGAAAACCAGCCAGGTAATGGCAGCACAGCATTGGTGTAGAAACTCAGCCAAACGCTCAAGTATGTTTTCCTCGAGGAGGGGGCACTAGGAGTGAGCCAGGGAGGGAACATGGCAGAACCAGGGCGGGGCCATGATGTGAGCCTGGCGCAGGACACTGCCCGTGGAGCATAGGTCACGCAGAGTAGTGAGACAGGAACAGCCTGGGCACACAGACAGGGCCGGCGCCTCCTGCAACTTCAGGGCAGTGGTCACAGGGAAGGTTTTATGGGCCGGAGGGGTAATCAAACTAACTGTGGGAAGGATCACTGCGGAATCTCAGAGAGTGCTGACTCTGGAGGGGCTGCAGTGGGAAAGAAGAGACCACCCCGGAGGTCAGGGCAAGGCGGGGCAGCAGCCGGGTCAGGAGGTGACTGGAACGAGGGGCAGTGAGATCAGAAATCCTGCAGGCAGCAAGATCAGCCCACCTGGACACTGTACCACCACAACACATTCCAATAGGGTGGCCTCATCTGTGGGCCCCGCCTGAGTTCAGTGGAACACATCCCCTCCCTGGTGACAACGACCTCCACGGCAGACTCCATTCAAAGAGCTGAGCCCAGCACTGGCGCGGTGCCCACAGAAAAGACTCTGGGCAACTGCACCCTGCTCTTAGGGACAGGCAGAGCTATTCTGAAAGAGGCCTAGGGACCCACAGGCGACTGCCAGACATTCCCCACAGGCCAAGTTAAGCCCATTGGCCTCACTTCAAAGCCAGCACAGCATCTGTCCCTCATGGCCTCCGGAAAGGCGAGGTCAGCTCATGATGGCCAGCGTGTCTGGCGCTTCGCATGGCTCCTGTTTAAAGACAAGTTTCCCAAAGCTCGCCCCATCACACATGTGCACACACACACACACAGGTTCTCAGTACCTAGGACTGATTGGCACTCAGGAGACTGTGGTATGATAGTGCCTCCCTCACCTGGAAAACCAGGAAAGCAGTTTTTTTCCCTGGAGAACTTTGCACCCAACCCTGAGAGGAGAAAGAAGAGTCCTGGTCACCATTCTCACATTCCTGAGCTAAGCCAGTGAAGCCACAATCAACCATAAGGGACCTAAGCCAAGGTCATTGCAAAGGTGAGGCCCAGCAGTCAGAGCAGGAGCTATCTCAGGTCTCTGCAGGAGCGCTAGGCCTCCCTGCCACTGTAGTGCTGTAAGGAGCACAGCAATAAAAAATCCCGCTATGCTGGGCATGGCAGTGCACAGCTGTGGGCTCAGCACTTGGGAGACTGAGGCAGGAGGACTGCAGATTCCAGCTCTGGCTGGGGAAATTAGTCAGACTCTGTCTCAAATAAAAAATAATAATTAAAAGGAGGGGTTGAAGATATAGTAAACAACAGTAAATATTCTATGAACAGAAATAGAAGCATACTTGTGCGACATTTATAAAACCTACAGCCAAGTGCGTATGTAGCAGCAAAATACCAGAAGAATCTCCAGGAAACTCAGAAATAAGATAAAGATTCTTACATTCTAACAATGCTTTAGAAATTTTGGGCAGTTTAGTAATAACACTGTAAATATGAGGAAAGAGAAAACAAAATTTTCCTTACTTACAGATGATAATACTACCTAGGCAATCCAAGAAATTCCACAAAAAACACAAAGGGACACAATAAGTTCAGCCACTCCCCAGACCCAGCCTGCTCCATACCTGTAACCACTAACTCACGTTAGTATGTAAGACAGATCAGTCATGCTGAAGAGCGCAGTAAAAATCAGCTAGTATTGAGAGATATTTTAAAATCAATAGCTTAGCAGATGATAATAAACTATTATAATAATATAACCAGTTTATAGTTGAAAAAATAGAGTAAAGTTACAGTAACAGAAATAAACTACCTAGGGATAGATGTAACAAGTACTGTGTAAGTAAGGAAAGGAAAGAAATGGATCAACAGAGCCTGAGGTGCTCCAGGGACACACTCTCCTCTGAGCCAGCTGCGACATCTGCGGTCCTGAGGACCAGCTTCATGGCTCAGTGTGGTCCAGGTCTGAAAACTCCACCCACACCCGGCCCCCACCAGGTGAATGGCCACTTCTCACCGGGGCAGGCCCTGCTGCCACCTCCATCCACAACCACCACACTTGGCTGTCCACATCACTCCCCCATTTTTGTCCCTGCCAGACCACAAGCCCAGGAAGTCTCAGGAGATGACACACAGGACCTGCCCTGCAGTGCCCGGGGGGACCCGCAGCAACACCCACCTTGGGCTTTGCGATCTCCTTGATCCTCTCGATCTCCTCGTCCGACATGACATCGTAATACCTGACGATGTGTGGGCTGTCCCACTCGTCCTCTTCTTTGAAGGGGGCGATCAGCAGCTCTGGTGCCCTGTTGCCATGGTGGTACCTGCAGAAGAGCCTCTTCCGCCTCTGGGGTGTCTAAGGAGCACAGAACAGCACCCCCTGAGCTGAGTGGGCCCTAACCCTCAGTCCCAGTCCAGCTGTCTGCAGGCGCTGGTCTCTGTCCCCTGGCCAGCAGCTGCTGCTGCCCACGATGCCACAGAAGTGCACAAAGGCCCCTCAGCTTGACTGGCATGCAAGCTCCAGCCCCACAAGCACGCAATGCTCCTTTTCCCTCAGGGTCACCTCAGGCCCACCATTCTGGGGACACTCTCACGGAGACACAAGTAGGTCTGAAGGGAACCAGGAGAAGCCTCCACTGAGGAGCTGTGGGGGCCATGTGGGAATGGATGAGAAAGGCAAGAGTCTGCCTCGAGGCCAGGCCTCCGGGAGGAGACCCCGGATCTCAGCCTCTCAAGAGCCAGCGATGCCCACACCAAGCCCAGGAAGGACTGCGTCTTCACCACACCGGCTGCCTCCCCACTTACCCAACGGGTTGAAATTTAGCTGGGGCACCAGGGAAGTTAGCCTCCTACTCTGTATCTCAGCCTCTGTCATTGTAACTTTACAGTGTTAACCCCAGCAACTGGAGGAGAGGCTCAGAGAGGCACCCACAGACAGAGGACCACGCTCCCTGCGCACCCACAGCCCGGGAACCCTGCCTGCCTCACCAGCTTGATGCCCTCCCCGCGACACAGGCTCTCATACACCTCCCTCTCCGGTAGGTAATCTGATGGCCTCTCATAGATGCCTTCCTGGGCTGCAAGCACAGCTTCTGTCTGATTTGACAACAGTTTTCCTCTTTCTTCCTCCAGCAACCGCTCAAAGTACCGCAGGTTCCCTCCAGCTCGCTCGTGGCTCGGGTCTAGCAAAAGCAAAGAATCAGAAGGAAGAGGAAACCGCAAACATCTGTTAGGTCATTTAGAGGAATTACTCTGTAATTGGTTACTCTCCCGGCAGCCCACTTGCATGAGACAGTCCGCCGTCTGCAGCACCTGGCCAGGGTGTGTTGGCCAGAGCTGAAAGCCAGCAGAGGCTGCCCACCTCGCTCACAGATGCGGAATATCATCAAAGCACGGGACGCCTGGCCAGCCACCAAGGGACTTCCTTCTCAGGCGTCACTAGGGAGCCCCAAGGCCCCCAGAGAAGCAGTGCTGAGTCCTGTGTCCTCACAACTGGCTGTGTCCACCCACAGCCATTCTCCAGAGTGCAGCTATCACCAGGTCACATCCCACTCACAGCCACAGGGCAAGCTGACCAGTCATGGCTCTATGTGGCTATTCTGGGATCCTAAGAAGCAGGTGTGGCAGGATTTGTGTCAATCCTTAGAGAAGGGACTTAAACTGATGTTATATGGGACAGGAATTCGGGTACCCTGACTCCCTGTGAAACGCTCTTATGAACTCACTTGATGGAACTTACAGAAGCCCTCACCGTGGTCCCAGGCAGGCTGACGTCACCCCCGGGGCCCCATGGAGGGCAGAAGACAGTGGAGAGGACGGCCTCGCATTCCAGCAAGAGATTTTTACTGTTTCTGTTCACAGCTGAGGAGCTGTAAAAGCACAGCGCTCTTGGCCTTCTTCAGTCCCACGCTGTAAGTAATGGTGGCACAGCAGGTCCTGCCCTCAGACTTCAGGTTACTAATGGAACAGCCAGGTCACTGCCAATGTGCCCACCCTGCAGCACAGCTTGCCACTCCAACAGCTCCCAGCCCGGTGAAGGTTCCACCTGCACAGTCCTGGATGCGCTGCACTGCTAGGTCCCTACTGAAGGAGGAGCACGTAGGCCCCAAGGTGGCACAGGTAGGTACCCCGGGCCTGAGAATACCCATCAGCAGCTGGGCGAGAGCTAAGGCCAGGACCCGGAGGGAAGGAGGTAGCTGGTTTGAATCTGAAGTCATTAACGCATTAGTTGCAGGCCAGGTGAAGGACACTGGCTCGGCCCCAGGCGCAGGACCAAGCAGTATAATAACCAGCAGGGTCCAGCTCCTCTGCCGGCTCCCGTCCTCATCTTACCCTCCCCTAGTCTCCTCACCGAGGGACAGCAGGCGGCGGGTGAGCTCCAGAGCACGGTGCAGGTCGCCCAGCTGGAAGACAGCGTAGCTAAGGTAGTCCAGCACCTCAGACTTGGCTACAGTGGCCTCTTCCCCGGCATCAAGCTGCTTTAGCGCCTGCTCCATCCACAGCACTGTATGATAATAGTCGCCTTCGTTGTAGGCTGAGCGGCCCATCCCAAAGCAGTCGTCCACACTCAGCACTGCCTGGTACTTGGTTCCTGCAGCAGAAGCCAAGAGTCAGGCTCCAAAGAGCTGGAGGAAAGTCCAGCCACTGGAGGGGAGGCATCATCCAACCAGAACCCCACCGGGGCCTTGGACCACACCCCTGCAGTGGCCCTGAGGCAGCGGGCAGACAGGTTGGTCTTGCCCCAGCCAAGGTTCGCAGCTGATCTTTACACTCATCTTTTCCCAAGTGGGGAAGGGCTTTGTCATGGGGGAGCTAACGCAGACCACCAAGTAGTAGCACTGAGGCCATATAAGAGAGATGGCTGGTTGGCAGCTGACAATGAGCCTGGGGAGCACAAAAGGTCAGCTGAACATGAAAAGCAGAACTCGGGAGGCACCAGAAGCCATGGATGAGGGTAACTGCTTGCAAGGAAGGGTCTGGGAAAGAATAGATGGGTGGCAGGGGCCGGGGCTCCAGAGAATACTTACACGGCAAAGACAGACTGGCAACACGGGGAAAAAACTAAGAAGTGAGGAAACGGAGGGAGCAGGAGTGGGGTGACAGACCCTGCGGCTGTGAGGGACCAGGAGCCTTGGGAAGCACCAGCCCGGCAGGCCTTGTGGCCATGGACTGTGCGCTGTGGGCCGAGTACCACAGTATGATCATGAAGACCGTTTCCAGCCAAGAACATGTGGCAGAGATGAGGACAGGTTCCAGATGGAAGGTCGGTGTGTGTGTGTGTGTGCGTGTGTGTGTGTGTGTGCACGCGTGCGCTCCTCAGGGACAGATGGCAACGGTAGATCCGATGCCAAGAAAGGTCTGTGGCCCTCCCCGGAGAGCACAGATGTCCCCTCAGACTCCATTAGCAGCCACTCCGACACAGCTGGCAAGACAGAAATGCCTCAGATTGGGGGCTTTCTGCTGGAGATCCAAGATGGGCCTTTACGCAGAATGAAACCCCTACTGCAGTAGGTTCTCTGCTTCAGAGACCAGGGTCTGCTGGCCCCAGTGGCTCAGAGCCAACCAAGCAGGACAGGAAGCCTCGGCGATTAAACACGAGACAGAGTCATAGGTAGGCCAGGGACTAGCGAGTTCCCAGGTCCTCTTTCCCTTCCTTCCGGGCCTCCACAGGTCTCTTCCGGCCCAGGGGCCTACCTGACGGAGGCCGCGTAACACAGATGGATAGGCCGAGGCTCTGACACCTCACAAGGTGAGGTGTGAGCAGGACTCACCACACACCCACCCGCTATGTGACCCTGGACAACTTACCCAGCCTATGTCTCAATCCCCTAGAGAAACAGATTCTGTCTGTCTGAACCTATCAAAACAGAGACAAAACCATGAACTTTAAGGCCCTTGTGCCACAACTCAATGAGACGACACGGGGAGACAGCACGTGCAATCTTTAGGATGTGAATGCTTGGCAGCTACCATTGCCGCGTCTCGAGGATGCCAAGAATGTTAAGAATGGCTCCCAGGTGCCAACTTGAATGTCCCCTCTCTTGAGAGTGACAGCTGCGCTGAGTGCAGAAGGGCATCAGACATGAAATAGCCCCCGTGACGGGGCTGACCAAGAGCTCCTGAGAACAACAGTGAGGAGGTAGGGGAGACAATGGACCCTGCAAGGCCACGCATGGGAGGAGTCTGGGTTTATCTCTCAGAGTGAAGCACTGGGTGGGAAGCCATGTGAACAGGTAAGACCACAGCAGGAGCCCTCCTGGGAGAGGCAGGCATGGCACACGTCCGAATGGCATTTCAATAGCCCAGCTGAGAAGGAAAGTAACCATGAGGACAAGCACAGACGACATTAGGCAGGCAGGATCCATCAGCCTCAGGGTCCTGGCATAGGCTGCCAGTGGAGGAGGTGCTCTGTGCCCAGGTGAGAGGGCAGGGAGGAGAACAAACAGTTCAAAAGAGGGCAAGGGTTCAATCCGGAACATCTGAAGCTCCAGAAGCCCATGGAATACCCAAGCAGAGACATCCACTGGCACCTGCTTACACTGGTCAGAAGCTGAGGTGACCACACCATGGAGAGAACAGAGGGGGCAAAGTGCTCGCACCAAACACAAGTGGGCGGAACCCTTCTGTCCTCTTGCTCCCCTTCAGGACAAGGAGACTCTTAACAGAATATGAAAAGTCCAGGCTCACCTCTCACCCACCCCAGCTGGGAGGGGAACAGACCCTGCAGACGCCCTGAACTGCTTCTCTCTGTGGCCCCAAGGAATGGCTTGGTAAGAGAGCTCACTAGGGAGGAGCTTAGCTACCAGATTCCTCCACATTCAGCCCTCAGGCCTGGCCCAGCCCATGACAGAGTATCTGGAGTGGAGGGAAGCTTCCAGATGGCTCTCTCTGCTTGAACCTCTGCCAGGTTCTCACAGGCTAGGTGCATCCAACACCCACCTCGGGCTCCAACTCACTCCCTGGCACTCCTGGTCTTGAATAGAGGGGATATATCATCTTACAAATACTAACATTGGGGCAATCAGTAAGGAAGGGGCTGGCTTTTAAAAAAGGAATGAAAAAGAGACTGAAAGAATGAATGACCAGAGGGGCCTGAGATTAACCCACTGGCTGTTCCAGTTCAGTGGTCACTGGTGACCTCACTGGGGCTGGATTGGTGGACAGTAGGAACCGAGGCACTGTGTCAAGAGTACACAGGTAAGTGCAGAACACCATGTACGTCATGCTACACAGCAGCCTGATTGGGAGAGAGAAAACGCTGGGCAAGCAGCAGAAACACAGAGAGCCTTGGACTTGAGGAAAAATTCAGAAAGACAAGCGAGAACAGAGTCCTCGTACGAGCTCAGGGAGAGAGCCCTGAAGGTAGGAGAGAATGAAAAGGGGCACAGAACAGGGGAAATGAGCCCACAGATCTGCTTTGGACAGAGCCAGGAAGGTAGGGCACAGAAGTGGGTTTGGCTGCAGACCTGCGGTGCTGAGGGCAGAGGCTGGGGGTCCCCTGAAAACCTTGGCTTTCTCTCAGACATGGGAGGAGAGAGTCTTGGCTGACACCTGGAGGGGGCAGGGGGGCAGAGGTGGAAGGGAGGCAGCTGTCACAGAACAGCAGAACAGGGATACAAGAACGAGTCAACGCCAGAAGGAACAGAGCACCTGCGAGATCGTAAGGTGGTCTCTGGCTCATCCAGCCACCAAAGAGAGGCACACAGGACAGGCAAAGCGTGAAGGGGTGGGTTACCTGGGATTTCCCCTCTGGAAATCATGCCTGGGTCGAGTTTGTAAGTGTCCTGAAGTCTCATCAGGGCTTTGGCAGCTCCCGACTCATCCTCATCGGTGGGGAAGAACTGGCGCTGCACCGAGAGGTTGGCGATAAAACCTTCAGAGAGAGAAAGAAGCGGGTGGCGCCCTTGAATCCAGTGGCAGGATCCCATCTGGACAGCGAGGCAGCTGCTAGAGGCTGTCTCACTAGCACAATCTCCCTGTCCTTTCCTCAAAGGCTCTGGCATGTTGGGAGTGTAGCTCAGCACTAGGGTACTTTTCTAGCATGTACAAAAGCCCTGGGTATGATCCCTAGCATTTCAAACATAAAAACAAAAGCAAAAACTTTGCCCTTTCACCAAGAAATTCTCCCTGATGGCTCCCAATCACAAGATTTCTCCTTTCTAACTGTCTGCACTGCTCATTTGGAACTGGGTAAAACAGCCTGGATACTGCCTAACATTTGGGAGTCTAGGAGGAACAGTTGGGAGATAACCTCCCCAGGGGTGGTGCCAAATTCCAAGCCTGGAGCCTGGGAAGTCTGTGACCTCTCAAGGACCCTAAGAAGGCTCTTCTGGGACTCCCAGCAAGAGATCACCTCTTGCAAAGCCCAGGACCCCAGGTGGGGACCATGCCCTCCCAAAGTACCTGAGCCCTCAATTCTGTCCACGAGCTGAGAAGTAGGAGGGAAACCCCAGGATATTCCTTCTCTGGCCCCTTTCCAAGAGCAGCAGTGCCCACTGTCACCGGCTCCTACAACATGAGACTTAAATACCCATTTCTAGCCAAGCCTGGGGACCTGGCAGGTACCTCATTTTCCTCATGCCCAGGAAGTCTAAAGAGTGCAGAATCCCGGAAGAGAACGCATGCTCCCTAGAAAGAGACACACTACCCTGCCAGTGTCCCTTCTGTATTCCAGATCAGGAATTTAAAAATCAGAGATGAAAGCGACCTAATCCTCTCTGAACCCGTCCGATCCACTTCCAGGTAACTCTTAAGGTTTTCCACATGTGGGCGGGGAGGGAGGGTACAGAGAACATGGTTCAGTGCAGACCACGTGTGCATGCTCAGCTCGCAGCGGCACAGGCAGAACGGCCTGTCCTGAGCCACAGCCCAGCCCAAGAGGCGGGGGGCTCCAGGGCAGCTTCGGTTCCCGGAGGCAGTGAGCTCACTGGGCACAGCTCCAGGCTGGCTGGGCTCACCAATCCCTCCCTGGAGGCCTCGCTGCCCCCAGCCAAGTCCAACCCCGCCTGGCCATGTGGGCTGGAATGTCTCAGCCAGAGAGGCGGTAAGGCTGAGGCTCAGGGGCTCTCCTAGCTCAGGGATGGGAGGCAGGGGCCGAACCAGGGCCAGGCATTCTCGAGGGGCTACTTCCAGCCAGGCTGCCATCAGGGGATGTGGACAGGAAAGTGTCAGGGCACAGAGAATACTGTGGCAGAGAAAAAGCTTTTTTAAAAGTCATACTCTGACCTTTAAATACCATTTCTTGTACTCTAAAAAAATGACCTGAGATAGATATCAAGACAAACATAAAAGATGGCTGAGAATTTGGAAACAACCCACGTCTGATGACCGTACGTGTTTTTACAGTGTAACAGTATGAAGGTGTATGTTCAGCCACTAAAATGGTGTGGCAGGAGAACATTTTAATAACACAGACAGAAGCTGGAACTGGGGTCCGGGGCGACACACCTGCAATCCCAGTACTCAGGAGGCTGAGGCACGAGGGCTGAAAGTTCAAGGCCAAGCTGGACTACAAAGCAAGACCCTGTCTCAACCTCTGCTACTCCCCCTACCCAGAAAAGGAGGAGCTGAGAAATTCAGGGAGGAGTCCACACTCATGCTGCAAACCCACCAACAGATCTGTTTCATCTGCACAGGAAACAATTCAGATGGGGCTCAGCTTCCCAGCTTGCGTTGGTCCCAACACCCAGCCCCCTTCACTCACTTTAATTCATTCGTCTTCGAAGCAAAAGAGTGCTCACCTCCTGGTATAGGCAGCCTTTTTAAAAAACAAGTGCATGCATGTGTAGGAAGACTAATTCCAACACTGCTTACCACCAGGCACTTCAAGTAAAAATTAGAATTTTCATATGGGGTTGTGTCTGTGTTTCCTAATGTTTCTATAAAAACATATAACTGAAGTATAATCACAAAAAAAATTCATGACAAAAAGTGGCATGTGTATGTGGTGGGAGGAATAAAAACACTACAAAAAGAGGCACACGTTGATTGCTATAGCACATTTGAAAAGAAGCAAGGACAGCTGGACCCGGGCTCCAGCACCACAGCCCAGGCACAGGTGACACACATGGGGTCCGCCCGCTCCCTGTCTCTCACCGGCAGCCGCGTCCTGCAGAACGAGGTCCTCCAGCGCGGGCCAGTCTGTGTTCAGCCGCTTCACCAGTTTATAGGCGTTCACGGGGTGGGCTACGTAGCCCTCGGGGTCTGCTGCCGACTTGCTGGTCAGGGCTTCCATTCTGCTGGCCCAACTGCGTAACCAAAGGAAAGGAAGAATAGTGCTCAGCCCACACAGTTCTTGACTTGCAGTGGTGAGATTTTTTTTTTTACCATCATAAAGAGGTAATAAAACATGAATATAGTAATTCCCACAGATCTTTCTAACACCTTACTCTAGGTAAAACCTAGGAACTGTAATATAAGTACAAAAAAAAGTCTTAAATAGAAAGGAAAACTGCAATCCCTCTTTCGCCCATGTGCTTAGCGACTCCAGAGGATTGGCAGGAAGAAACCTCCAGGCCAGCCTGACACCACCCAGCTTCCTAATCCTCATCCTCCCCTGGGTGGGAGGGGCAGAGGCAGGGGCAGGAGGGCTGGCTCTGGCTGGTGGTAGGGCCATAGGGCACCAGACACCTCTTAATCTTGGAGAGCTTGGCTTCCTCCATAAGGATGTACTCCTTCAGAGACTGCACCAGATCTTTCTCCGCATAAATCAGGTCAGTCATGTGCCCTGCAGGAGAGAAGTAAAGGCCAGTTAGAAATGGATGAGGGGTGTCAGGCTCTTTCCTTGGAGCATAAAACATGAATGGCTGAGGGTGTAACAGCTCTCAGGGAACCAGGGAGATTTGGGGGTAAAGGGGTCCAGACACTCATATGGTCCTGGCCTAACTTCAGGAAGAGAAAGGCAGAGGGGCTAAGAAGATATGTGGGAAAGGGGCACTAGGAGCCCCAAATCTCATTCTCCTGCTACTGTCCAGCTGGTCTGGCTACTATGCCTGGATATCCTAAGGGCTCTGAAATCTCAGAAGAGAAACAGAAGAGAGAAGAGAAGCTTCATCCTGAGGTCGCAGAGAGATTACCACTCCTTGGGCCAGTGGTAAAGTGGTCAAAAAGGCCAAAGGACCCATGTGTGAGTGCGAGTCCCAGATGGAAAGGCATAATTCAGAGAGCAGGCTCACAGGACACCAAGATGGGGGTCACTGCAGGGAAAAGCAGCTTTGCCAGTTCCACTCTCCTAGAACAGGTCAAAATCAACAGAGGAAACCATCACGCCCCGAGTGAGAACAGCCAGTGACAACGGTCCTACTGCCACATACCAATAGAAGTGAAGAATTCAGCCTTCACACAGCTCAGGACTCCAGCCCAGGCCATCAGCCACGTGGACACCGTGAGTTTCATGGTCAGCAAGGGCAGCATCTGCGAGGAATTCAAGACATTCCTTAGATCAACACAGTGAAAAATAAACACCTTCCATGAGGAGACACATATGCATGCGCATGCACATGTGTGCACAGTCCAGACCACTGGCCTAGCAAAAAGGTCAGGATCTACCCCTAGCCAAAGATCACAGCAGTACAGGAGAGCCAAGGACAGAGAGAGAACTTGGTAGGATATGCTCTGGGGACTGTGCCCAAACTGATGTGGACAGCAGATGGTCAGCCTCAGATGATAAATACTGACCCCTCCCCCCCGTCTGCACCTGCCAGGGTCAGGGCCCTCAGGGGAGTGGCACTGCGGGGCAGACACTGCTCTTCCCATAGTAAGGCTCCTTAGCAGACACCATCATGCCCCCGTGTCCCCACAGTCAGTCACCACTCATTCACAAATATTTACTGAGAGATGCCAGACACTGAGCTAGGCACTGGGGATTAAACCATCAATCAGCCACACACAGCCAAAACCTCAGGCTGGGCTGCTGGCATGCAGAAGAGGCCAGCTACTGCCACCATCTCGGCAGCCTAGAAATAGACATGGCTCAGAGTGGGTAGATACAACCTGAAGCAACCCCCACGGGCACTGGGCCTGCAGACACAGTGGAAGCTTCAGACCTCATCTCCCAGCTCACCCTCCGCCTGGAACGTGCTGGAAGCCCAGGACGCATCTAAGTCCTTCCTCTGCTGGCTCCAGTTCTGCCAAGTCTCATGGGAATGCTCAAATGGAAATTTACTAAGAAAATAAAGAGAATACAAATGCTTCTCCCATAAATTCTCCAGCAGAATTGTAAGTCTGAGCTAATAATGTTCCTCATTTTTTGTCAGCAACAATCCACTAGACACACAGCCACTCTGACCACTCCTCATCGCACCCTTTCAGAAGAAATCCCAATGTGCTGTGGGTCCGGGTTAGGCTCAGAGAAGACCACCCCAAACCCCCATCCCAAACAGGCTGCTCTGCCAGGAAGAGGACTGCTAACCAAATGACCCCATGTATTCAGGCCCTAGCGGTCTGCAGAAGTGTCTGCACACGGCCTGGCTGCTGGGGTCCAGAGACACATTAGCCAATTATCTTCCAAGCCAGAGCTTGCTGCAGGGCATGGCCTACAGTGCTAAGGGGTCCATTAAGGGCTAAAGGCAGCAGGATAAAGCAAGTCTCTGAGAGACGATAAGAAAGCCCAGGGGAGCTCTGAGGCAGACCTGGGTCCTCCAGGTCCAGTGTAGTCTACTTTGAGGTCTCACCACACTGTCCCCCAAGGCCAGGATTCCAGGCCTCTCTTCCTGCTTCCCTGAGGCCTTTTCACTAAGGGCAATGAGTATCTGTTTCTTCAGTTGAAGATGCCAGACCAGCTCAGGACAGCAGCTTTTGTGCATAGACAGGGCGGGCACAGGGAAAACTCAGAGCTGGGAGGATCTGTGAACAGTGAGGGCCCTGTCAGCTGCCCCTCAGAAAGGAAGCAGTGGAAAGCAGGGTCTAGGCAGGACACCAGACTAGGCTTGGTTGGAAGCGGAGGCCCCAGCACTTCCCCCAGATGTGTTGCCAGCCACGGTTGCATAACCCTTCAGAGATCAGGCAGCGGATTGATGTGAACAGGAAGCTGCTCCGCTCCTTTCAAATCACCTTGATGCTACCATCCATGATTTGCCCTTTGGAGTCCTCAGAAGACAGCAGCCAGAGTTTCCTACTACACACATACCAGCTGTCAGTTCTCTAGAACATGCTGTCTGGCTCAGACTAAGCCCATCTATGAATCCAGGCCTGAAGGCGGAGCCTCCAAGAACCACAGATGGCTTTAGGCAATGACTTACCGAGAGCCCACACAGTCCTGCTCTGGCAGGAGAGGAGGACTCCACTGGCCCAAGTCGTCGCACACCACTGAGCAGCTCCCGGACTGCCACGTCGACACTGCCAGCCCACGCATTCACTGATCCTGGACCCCTGAACTCACTTTTGTACAAAAGTCATCTAAATTAGGATCCCAGTGGGAGCCGGCGTCCAAGAGGGACTGTGACCTACAATATGGGAAACGACAGCTCCAGCCCATCTCCTACCTACACCCAAAGCACAGAGCAGCTCAGAGCATCCTTCCTAGTGCCCCACAGAGGATCCAGGGCTGCCAAAAGCTCCCCCAGGAACTCTCAGAAATCCATGCAGAGGGCAGGGGGTGTAGCTCAGCAACAGAGAACTTGCTTAGCATGTTCCAGACCCTAGGTTCCATCTTCAGCATGACAAATTTGTAAAAAGGAAGAAAGAAAAGGAGAAAGAAGAAGAGAGGAAGGGGAGAAGGAAGAAAGACCCATAACAAATAAACCTAGGTAGACAAGGTCTGGAGAACGGAAATGTCGGACCTCCTTTTATGAAAACCAAGTGGCACTAAGACTGAGCAGAAAACCAATACAGACGTTTATCTGAGGTGCACGCCAGTGTTTAGCATAATTCCTGTCCACATCACGCACCTGACAAGTAACTCTTCATCACAGATGCTCAAATTAGGAGCCACGGCAGATTTTCCACTTCTATATCACTGGGACAGTCCAGGAGTACACAAATGCAAACACTACATGTATACACCAACATGCAGAGATCAAGGCATACTATGGGAAAAGTAGGTCTCCCCAAAATATGTACTGCAGGATCTGATTTCGGTGAGAAAAAACTAATGTGTATATATATATGCACAAGAAGAGGGTCATTTTCCAATTGTGTCTTGGCGAAGTAATTTTCTTTTTCTGTTTGTGTTCTTAATCTTCTACAAGGAATTATACAGGACTTTAAAAAATATTTTACAGTGTGCTTAAAATGTAAAGAGAACAAAGCAGGCCTTCTCAGATGAACTCCAAACAGGCCTTGGCAGTTCCACATTTAGACCCCCATGGGGAGGTCCTGAAAAACCTGCCAACCCCAGCAACAGTAATTCACCCACCAGGTAACTGGCACTGTTTCTAAGCACAGGGCAATTCCAAGACATACAACCAGAGGTCCTACCAAGCCCTCTCTTTGGAAAGGACATTTACAGTCTGGCCAAATGACCATGAAAAGATTTTCCCAGCTGCAAGCCAGCAACGTTCTGCGCCTCTCCCCTTACCTCATCAGGCAGGACCCTCTGCCAACCTCCCAGCTGCAACCCAAATGCAACAGCCCGAGTTTCAACAATGTACTCAACAGCCTAGAGACAGAACATGGGTTTGCAGAGAACAAACAGACCTTGCTCGGCACTAGATGGCCAAAACCTTGCCTGCATTCTCTGAAGAGGCAAGCTCGCCAAACAGGGCTCTTCAAGCCCCCGGCCCTGCCATCCACCATGCACCATATCCTGTCTCCCACTGCTGTGGCCAGCTCTAGAACTGCAGAGCTGAACAGACCTGCATGCCAGCCTAGGAGGTACACAGAAGCAGCTCCAAAAAGCCCCACTACCAAAGCACACAGATGTGCACTCAGCCCTAGAAGCTACCATCAGCGCACCCTGAGGAAGGGCAGACAAATGTCACGGCTCAGTCACCACTCTGATCCGGGCCACCCCTAATCCCTCATGCTGCTCTGACCCCTCCATGTCCCGTCTGGTTTTGCTCTCAACTCTGTCCCAGTAAGTAGTCAACACTGGAGGCCCTCCTTCTGCTCTCCACCACCAGTAGAGTAACATCTAAACTCCTTAGTGTGGCCTTACCCTGCTGCCCCCGCCAGCCCTGTTTCATGATCTCAAGTATCACATCTTCAACAACTACTTCATGGGAAAAATATTCCACTTCACCAAGGACCTCCTGAAACAAGGCAGGGGGTTTAGCTCAGGGGCATAAGTGCCTGCCTTGCAAGCATGTGGTCATGAGTTCGATCTCCAGTATCAAAAAAAAAAAAAAAAAGAACCTACTGCAACCTAGAATTCTACTCAGCGCAGTGTTCTCCCCTTCCCGGTGTTATCTGGAATTCTACCTCTTGCTCTATGAGTAGCTAACTCAGAATTACTCCCTGGGCTTTGATTTGATTTTTTTTTAAGCATCTCCCTGGGCTTTGATTTTCCACCCCAGCCAGCAGAGGAAGAAGGGGCTCAATGGGCCCCGGCCAGGATGGATGAGGCTGAGTATGTCAGATCACAGGCATTTATCCTTACACCTTCTCTGCCCAGCGCATGAACATGCTGATTTCCACTTCCTCACCTAAGTACCATCAAAACCACAAAGTTCCTACTTTAGTAACTGGATGGTGAAGTAAAATTGAAGATTGTTAAAGTCAAAGTGCAATGCCAAGCTGCATTGTCAGTCATGGTCTTAGCAGAGACTTGGCAGTGTGGATGACCCTAACTCTAAGACAGATCTACAGCTGAAGGAAAACCCATGCACCACTGCACTGGATGCAGCTCACATACTGCCTTACACCCATGGGCTACTTCCTCTGCCCCAGTCCAATGGAAGAGGAGACTGTGCTGACCCATTCGGGAATCCCTGGATCCTCCCGCCACTCCAGACTGGCCTCTCCGATGGCCACAGAGTGGACCTAGTGAAGAATGAGCCAACTCTGACCAATAAACAAGACAAGACAAAGTCGCTGATAAAGTCATTCTACAGGCCTTCTACAAGGAGCTCTTCCCATAGCCAGAGCTACAGCGCTTACACATGGAGGTCCTGAACCACATTATACCTCTGCGCACAGCAGCCAGCTCACTAAAGCAACCCCTTGCATTTGCTTCCCATTTTTATGTACCCTGCTTTTCTTTTCCTTCACCCTGGCTGCCCTACAATACACTTTCCAATAAAGTACTAAACACTGAAGTTCTATCTCAGGCTGTTTTCTGGGAACCTGGTCTCAGATAACCACAATTTTTGTCTCCAAAAAATAGTAACTTTTAAAATAGAATAATTACAACAATACACTGAAATAAAAGTTGATAATGTGGCTACTCTTGTACTTTGGAGCCAGTATGAAAAAAGGGTTACTCTGAACACAAACACTACAATAGTGTAACATTCAATTTAATAACTAAAATAGCTTCAAGGTGATGCAATGACTAAAAGGTGGGTGGTATATACAACATGGATACACTGGATGAAAGGATGATTCATGTTCTGGGCAGAACAGAGCTAGAACGGAACAAGATTTCATCATGCATCTCAGAAGGGTCCACAATTTAAACCTTAAGAATTGTTTATCTCTGTACTTGTCCATTTAATATGCTCAGACTGTGGTTAACCACAAGTAAATGACACTGAAGAAAGTGAAACTATGGCTGGGGGAGGGTGCTCCGCCGTATAAAATAGATACACAGCATAGAGAACTGAAACTGAGAGAGGATTTCCTGCATAGCTGACATCTGACAGCAAGCCAGTGGCATAACCAAGCCCAAACCCCATGCACATTCTCTACAAGATACTGCTGCCACTCAGTATTACACGGGAATACCTGGTACCTTATGGCACAAGAGCCTTCCGAACACGGGAGCCACACCTTGTCCAGGCAAGGCATACCTTGTCCAGGTTCAGGACTCTCTCATGGTTCACAAAGCAGGCTTGTGATATCTTTGGTTGAATCTCATCAGAAGCAGCAGAGCAATATGGACTCTAGTAACAGCAACATGGACCCAGAAAATAGCACCATTGTCCCCCGAGTTCAAGGTATACACATTCCTACCCTAGATATCACAGCATCCAGATACCCAACTAGCCCGACTCAGATCAAGGCTCAGGGAGGAGGTAGGTACACATATGTGCCCTAGCATCAGGGTTAAATCCCACTTCCACCACGACTTCCTGGCTTTGGGGCCTCAGATGAGTTACAGGCTTCTCTGAGCTTCAGTTTCCCCATCTCTATAAACAGTGGGACCTGTATTTCACAGGCCTGGGCTGAGGACTGGTTAAGATGACAGACATCAGCAAGATAAGCCTAAGACTAGGTACAATGTATGTTGATTAGCAGCAGTAAAAAGCACCAGAGGGAAACTGGTGGACCTGAAACAGCCAGCTGCCCAGCACAAGTCAGCTGATCTCTGAGTAAAGAAGGTCCAGACTAGGGTGCAGCAAAGATGCAAGAAACAAGGCAGACACTGGGCAATCTCCAGGTACCTGGTGTGCTAGAAGAAATAAAATATTCAGTTCAGAAGCCACTGGAGTAAGGTGCCATGCAGTCTGCTGAATATTCTCTGGGCAGGGGACTGAACCGACACTCTCAGATTTCACATACTCTGACCTGCTCATTCTGGGCTCTTACCACACCCTGGCCCTCAGGAGTGCCAGGTACAGTGTAAGTGTTTATAGCAAGCACTTCTTGAGAGGTTTGGGGCAGAGGCTGGTCTATGACCAGGGTAAGACAGATCCTATCAAAGCTGGGGAACACATTACTCAAATAATCCTCTGCCCTGCAATGACACCAATTCAACTAAAAGGCTCTTCTGGGGCTCCAAGAAGTCTAGTTCATTCTTTCTATCCTTCTCTATTCTTTCTGAGAATAAAAAAAAACTTATCTTTCCCTCATTACAGGTCCCTAGCACAAAGCCCACAGACCACAGGCCCCATCAGCCCCCTCTGCTCTAGGGTAGGGCTAATGTCTCATTCTTGGGCATTTCAAAGGTCCAAAATGAAAGATCTGAGCAGCTTTCCCAAAGTTTAACATTCAGTCCAGTACTCTGCTGGGCTTACACGTGCCTGGGCTACATCGTTTCCTGCCAACCTCAATCTGCATAAAATTAAACTCTTGACAGATCCCAGGGGCCAGGGACACACCTACCAGCCCTCTGCACACTATCAGCCAGCGTGGCCATGAGTCGTCCAAGGCCTTGCATCCAGCTTCAAACCCTCCCAAAGACTGGGGGATGGGATGGTCAGAGTCAAAACGGGCAGCTTCCTCAGGAAATGAAAGGACCCCAGATTCCTTGATACTCATTCCTCAGAGCTGCACGTGCCCAGTCTCTCCCTTTGACAAGTCTTCACATGCCAGGCTGTTCCCCCAGCATGCAGCCAGCTGCCACCACGAAACAGCAATCTCAGAGAGATTATGAGTTACCCATGGGCAAGAACCATTCGCCGGCCATCTGTCCCGTCCTCCCTCATCCCAGCCCCACAGAAACAAGCACGAAGGAGGTACCTAAGGAATGAGCAGACCTCAGCAGTCAGTAGTCTGAGCCAATGGCAAAGTAAGCACTCTCTGAGACACTGTGTTGCAAAGCCCAAAACAAGATAGGAGAGTTTATTAAAACCACAGACCATGTTTCAGTCTGGCTGTCACCGTGCCTGCCTGCTGAACACTCCTCTCAACTAAGGAAGTTTAGTATGACACCATCTTCGGGTTAAGGCCCTTAGCCAACTCACTCCATCTTTGCTAAGTGGCTTTCCTGGCTGGGCTACATAGTGGACATTCTTGATCACATGAAAAGAAGGCTCTAGAAGAATTCACAGACCAACATCCTATGAGTGAGGAGAAGCAAACAGAGAGCCTGGGTCCTGTGGCACAGACCACAGTGAGAGACTGTACACTGAATACATCAGGGGCAGTTTAAGTATAGGCCAAAGGAGAAGCCCTGTTCCATTTAACAGAGAATCAAATCATGGAAGCTGCTATCTCAGATGCAGGCCAACAACGAGCAGCAGCTTGCAAAAGCATCCTCTGAATTCTCAGGTAGACAATGAATCTCCATAAAATCTAGGGTATTTGACAAGCCTCAAAGCTACAAGTGATACCCCAGCCCTAGATCTTAGGGCTAGGATCTCCAGCCAGAGGGCCAGGTCTGTCAGGCCCCAGAGATCTCGGCAAGAAGCACAAGCCTCAACTGCAACCACACAATACAAACCGTCTCAGGAATAAGCCCAGCGCTGTCCTCCAGCACCGCACCATAAATGTGTCAGTCTCTCTGTCACACAGAGCCAGGGGCCCACCTGGGCCTGTGCTCCGCCACAGGTGAGGCACGAAGTTCCCTGATCACACTCCTCCTGAAAGGGTTCCCCAAGGCACGACCCACACACAGGGCACCGCGCCAAGAGCTGTTCTCACACCAGGTTCCTGAGGACGGGGATCCCTGGTAGCTACTACCGAAAGCGCGCCTGGCAAGGACCACATATGCTGCTGCCCCAGCTTTGCCCCACTCACACAGCTGTCCCTCTGTCCTCAGTCTGCCTGACCACTCCGGCTCAGGAATCACCCTTTCGAGGAAACCCACATCCAGACTCCACCAGGTGCCCACTGCCCTCGCCACCCGCCAGCGGAGGAATCACCACCGCGGCTCCGGGCCCGGACTTTCCCGGGCTTCCAGCCCTCGTACCCACCGGGCTAGCAACTCCTTGAAATTTCTGGCACGCGAAAAGTGTCCCTCTGTAGAATCAGTTCACTAATCACCACGGGTTTCTTTTGCTGAGTTAAAATCGGGTTCAAGATCACCAAGGATGTCCGGAAGAAAAAGATTTTTTATCCAAAAGCTCATCCACCTACCAGGCACCCAGCCTGGCGGGGCCGGGCTCCGGCTCCCCGAGGGGCGTGGGTCCCTAACCCTAAGCAGCCCCAGAGGGCCAGGCCGACGCCCCGACCCGCCGGGGTCACCGCCGCTTCCCGGGCGCTCCCCAGGGCCGCACGGCCCCGCGCCCCGCCCGGCCGCCGCCAAGGGGACCGGCAGGAAGGGCGCCGCTGACCTCACGCCCTCGGCCCAAGAAGGGACGCGGGCGGGACAGGAGCCCGGCCGGGCGCAGAACGGGACGGGAGCGCGGGCCCGCTGGCCCCGGAGCGCGCGGCGGGCGGACCCCGGCCCCGGCCCCGGCCCCGGCCCGGCCAAACGGGGCGCTCACCTGGACACGCGCCGCTCCCGGCGTTTCCAGAACCTCCCGCGGCGTCCCCGGCGCGCTGGGCGCCTCCTTCCCGCGGCCCCGCCCCGCCGCGGCCCGGCGCCGCCCCTTGAGCCGCTGCCACGTCTCCACCTCCCGCGCCCGGAGCGCCGCCGCCGCTGGGAAGGCCCAGGCCCCGGCCCCTGAGCCCGAGCCGGCCCCCGCGCCCTTCATGCCGCGCGCCGCCCGCCGCACGTCCTGCGCGTCCCGGCCCCGCGCGCCCCGCTGGCGTGGGGAGCGGCCCTGGCGCAGGCGGCCGCGGCCGGCCGCTGGGGGGCGCTGCCGGAGACAGGCCCCCACGCCACCGCACCCCGGACCGCGTTTCCACCCCCAGGTCACAGGAGGCCGCGGCCCTGGGACACCGAGCACCCGGTGTCAGGATAGGGGCCGGACCCCGGAGGAAGCTGTGGAAGCTGCGGGGGACCGGGGCTCCCGCCCTGGAGATGGAGCCTGGGGGCCTCAGGCGCCAAGACGCGCGGGGGCCTGCGGAGCAGGAGGCCACTAAGGGGGAGCAGAAGGGGACGCCCCGCGCGGGGCGCAGCGGGCCGACCGGGTTCCCCACTGTCCCCAGCTCACGGCCAGGAGGACAGGGGTCGGCCTGAGCGGGAGGAAGCCCTGGCGGCCGGCGGTTCCCACGCCTGCTCCGTGAACCTGTTTCTCATGAATGAGGGGAAGCGCAGCCTGAGAATCTCATCAAGGAGTGCAGCCCAGAGCCGGCAGTGCCCGGCCTCCGCCCAGGCCCAGGGTGCATGGTCCTCGTGCCACCCGTCCAAACCAGGGAAGGACAGACAGACCAGTGCATCTTCACACTCGGTGCTCAGCCAGAAGCAGACAGAAACTTTCGGACATCCTGCGACCTCATGTTATGCAGAGATCTGCCCAGGACTTTCATTCCCTGTCTCTGTTCAGAATCCTGCCCCAGGATCATCCCTTCTCTCTCCTGAATGACCCATTTCTTCCTCTCGACTGGATCTTCCCCCACTGGCCTACAAACATTTCTAGGCCTATGTTCCTGAGCTAAAACCCTCGCCTTCCCCACCAGTTCCTGGGTGTCTCTCTCTTCAACCCCAGAGAGCCAGAAAGAGCTGCCTCCCTGTTCCCCTCAACTTGCAGTTAGCCTGTAAGGGCCTTAACAACATGGAACCAGAGCTCAGTAAGTTCTCAGTAATCTCCAAATGTCTAAAATACAACAAAAGGTCCCACGCAGCCAGCATTTGACTCCCCAGCAGTGACCCTTCCTTCCTTGGAACATTCTGAACTTGAGAACAGCTCCATCCTCACTTTTCAGTTTGCTTTGTTTGGTTGATTTCCACTTACTGAGTTGCTAAGTCGCCCTCCCAGAGTTTGAACTTGTGATCCTCACTGCTGTCCTCCCAAAGTGTGGGATTGCAGGCGTGCACCACTGCACGCTGCTCCTTCACCCTTTGGCTTCCTGCCACCCTTGCATGGACTTCTTCCTGGCATCCCTCCCTCCCACTCTGCTCATTAGTCAGCAGTGGCTGAGAATCCTCAAAGCTCAGGCCTAGGGTCTCTGCTTTTCTCTTCTTTTTCTGTGTGTGTGTGTGTGTGTGTGTGTTCTTATACACGCATGACTCACAAGTCCCTCTCTTTGTCCTTTCCTTCCTCCTGAGCTGCAGACTCACAAAACTGACTACTCAGCCTACATCTCCAGTTGAGCATCACACATAAATCAGTAGCAACAATTTCAATGGTGAGTTCCTATTTCCCTGCTTCCCAGCCTACTCCTGCTGCACTCAAGGAGATACTTCTCATCAGCCAACTCGCCAGGGGCAAGGAGCCATACATAGCTCTTCCTGCTCCCCTGTTCCCAGACCCATGCCTCAAGTCTGTTCAGTTCTGCGACCTCAATCTCTCCACTCCCTTTTCCTCTATCCTCTTTCACTTGAGCCACTGCAACACTTTCTCTGGCAGCTGCCTCTCCATCCATGGCTGCCCCCCCCACCTGTCCTCTAGTGACAGTCTTGGTGATCTCCTTTGCAGCTGAAGAAAGTGCACCTCAAAATGGTCTGCAGGGCCTCACATGGCGTGACCCTTGCGTGTGCCTCCAGAGCACACTGACATTCTCCCAGTCCTTCTAAGTGACCACCCCTCCACACCATGTTCAGGCCTTTATACACACTATTCTAGCTAGAAAAATCTCTCCCTCCCTTATTAAAGCCTTTCGAATCCTTCAGATCCCTCATGCTGAAGAATTCTCCTCACTTCCCTGAGCAGGCCTGAACTTGCTGTTAACAGTCTTTTAGGTCCCATGTGCTTTGCAGGGCTTGCCATAGCTGAGAGTTGAACAAGTACATACTGTCTTCCCTCCCAGCCTGGAGCTCCAGGGCTACATACACTAGGTGTGTCTTCGTCCATCACCATACTCTTGGCATCCACTACAGAAGTCCACTCAAAATATTTGCTGACCCCGTGAAGGACCAGAGATCTTCTACAGACCTTGTTCCGTGCAGTAGGTTTTGGTAGCCAAAGGTGTAAGGTCTGCACGGGGGCCTCAGAGTTCCAGAAGCTCAAGAGCCCATTATTGGGCAGCTATCTGAGCCCTGAAAGGAAGAAGGACTTCTAAGGTAATATCTTGTCAGGCTCCACTGCCTCCTGCTTTGCAGGAAGTGACCCCTTATTCATCTAGGAGTCTTATCCCTGTAATTGCTCCTATCTGGAATATATCATCTCTAATTTTGGCCTCCACATAGACCACAGCATAAGATTTTCAGCCTCCATCCTGGTCCCTTGACATACTCACTTCCTAGAGTGCTGTAACAAATTACCAGGAACCATGTCTTAGAACAATAGAAGTCAGTGTCACAGTTCTACAAGCTGAAAGTGTGAAATCAGGATTTTTACAGGACTACACTCCCTCTGAGGGATACAAGGGAGAATCCTTCCTTTCTGTCTTAGTCACTTTCTTATTGCTGAATGAGCTGGTCTCCCTGGGCCTGTCTTCTCAAAGGAAAGGTTTGCACTTCTACACATTCAAGGGTGTGTTTGTTGGATCTTGCTGTTTCCTGAGATGCCTTCAAACCCTCTTTTTCATTGTCCTGATGCAAAGCACTTGGCTTCTTTCTAATGCTGATATTTTCAGAAACTATACTCTCAATGGCCCCAAATTTGCAGGTGCTTTCTTTCTGATGAAATGTAAAGTTTTTACATCTGCTTTTAGCTCCTGATTTTCACTGTGGATGTGCATTTAAAAGCATCCAGCAGACTAAATATTGAGCTGCTTTGAACTTTCACCCACAAGAATAATTGGTCATTACCGTAAATCTCAGGCTCCAGCAAAATCTCAAGACATGGGCAAAATGAAGACATTTTTTGTCAGGGGTAACACACATGGCCTGTAGTCCAATGCCAGTGGAGTTGTCACTTCCAACAGAAACCTCCTGAACCTGGCCTTTGCTGTCTACATTCCTTTTAGCCCTGTGATTTTCTGAGCTCTGAGCAGAATCTCCCATCAATTTCTGCTTACAGGTTTGTAAAGCTTCTCTAGCTGGCATCGCCAAACCTTTCCAAACTTCCCACAAGCCAGTTCCAAAAGTTTTTGAGCTACATGGTGAAGTAGAGTCACAGCAACAATGCCACTTGTCCGGTAACCAGATCTATCTTAGTCATTTTCTCCTTGCTGGAACAAAATATGCAGCACCTACAACTTAAAGGAGGAGAGGCTTATTTTGGCTTATAGTTTCAGAAGTTTTAGTCCATGGTTGGTAGGCTCCAAGGCAGAAACAGCAGAGTGAAAAGGTTTGGGTGGCAGCCAAGAGACAGGGAGATGGGAGGAGCTGGGGGAAGGAGCTACCTCCCTTGCTGATGGCTCCCTCGGTGACTCACCTTCAGCCAGGCTGCACCTCCTAACGGTATATCCAGTGGTGACCATAGTGCCCCAACGATTCAGTCACCTTCCAAACACGTGAGAATATGGGGAGGGTGCATTTTAGATCTAAACCATAACATTTGCCCCTTTTAGCTTCTGGGGGCTTGAGGGGTCCGTTGAGTTGCCGCCTTCCCTAATTAAATGCTTTGGCTTATCACCTTGTGCATCTGATGCTTTTTTCCTTCAAAATTCCAACTTATCTCATGCCTGGATGGTTGAGGGAATCCCTTCCAGGAACTCACCTGCTGCACTCTTGGGGTAATTTCAACCCCAGGTTAGGCCTCCTGAAGACGAAGCATCTACCTATACCCCACACCACTCTAAGTGCTTCTGTCCCCAGCATTTTCTGCTATCTGTGGGAGCTCCCCGTCCCTTCCCTGTTCCTCCCTACTGCATTCTCCCACTGGAGATCACACCTTGTGGGCCTCTCTCACTCTAGACACTTCTCTCCATGCTGCCTCCACACTCCAAATTCAGCACCTCCTCCCACCTGGAGAATCCATCCTGACTTCCACTCAGCCCCCTCGATCCCATTCTATGCCACTGGCAGAGTTACGTTAACAACATGGTTCTGATTATGTCATTTCCATACGTAGAATCCCTCAAAAGTGTCCCACCTCCCCAGGGACTGACAGATACAATTCTTTATTGAGTCCTGACACCTCTTTGTGCCATGTGCAGCTTCAAACTTGACGTTCCGGCCACTCTGAGTCCTTTCAGGTTCTCGGCCCTCAAGTGTGTCATTCCTTCTGCCTAGGAACACTTCCCTCCCAAAGCACAGTTCCTTTTAAAAGCCTGAGTCAGGTCCTGCCGTGGCCCCACGGCGTCTTCTGGATGAATTCCGTGCAGGCCGCCTGAAATCGCTCGATTCTTACTTCCTTTATCACTGTGCATCCGTCCTGTTCACCTCTGTGCCTCTAGATCTAGCACAGGGTCTACACCAAGACCCTGCACAGGAAGCAGTAAACAAAAATACATGAATGGACACACACACACACACACACACACACTGCGGTGGCTTCCAAGAGAACTCTCTGAGCACACTAGCCTCTGTCACTTAAGGAACGGTCACTCATCACAGACTCACACCCTCCTCCCTAAATCCGTGGTAGGACTAGAGCCACCTCCCCTCCCTACAGGAGCTCTGTTGCATTCATTTATTCAATAAACAGCTGCTGATCACAAGCTGAGGCCCAGACTACAGATTCAGGGACCGTGCATGTCAGAGTGG